GTTACAATGGAAACCAAAATGGGTTGATTTAAATGAGAAAACTGATCATATGAAAGATGGGGAAAATGTAACTCATGCCGTCACAGTGACTTCTTAATTAATTCGCTCATTGAAGATTGGAAATTAGTGGAAATTAGATTTATTGGGGATTCGAGACCCTGTTGAAACAAGAAAATTGAAATTGTCGCATTGGATCATTTTACGGAAACTTAACTTTAAAGAGGGAAGATACGAAATTCAGTTGCCTTGGATAATAGAAAAGAACTGTTTAAGTCAAAACTTCGATATTGCTAGACAGCGTTTAAACAGTACGACACACCGATTGATACAAAAGGGCAAATTCGAGGATTACGAAAATGTTTTCACAGATTGGTTAAATGATGGAATTATAGAAGAAGTCCCTGGACATGAAATGAATAATCAGTGTCACTATTTACCACATAAAGGGGTATTCAAAGAAACTTCGACCACAAAACTGCGGCTGGTATTCGATGCTTCCTGTAAAGACAAAAATTCACGCTCACTTAACGATTGCCTAGAAAAGGATCCAAATTTGCTGGAACAAATTACGTATAATTTTAAGATTTCGCAAGAATAGAATAGGAGTTATTTCAGACATAAGAAAGGCTTTTTTGCAATTGTCAGTGAATAAGAGTGATCATGATTTCTTACTATTTTTATGGTGGAAAGACTTTAGGAACAACTTTAGACATAGAGGAACTTGGAGTTTTTAGACATAAAAACGTTGTTTTGGGATTGAGTTGCAGTCCTTTTTTATTGGTTGCTGTATTAAGCCATTACATTGATCTAAATTAGTCTAAATATCCTGAAACAGCAGAAAATTTAAAAGAATCGTTCTACGTAGATAATTGCATCACATCTGTTCCTGATGAAGAAACACTTATGTGATTCATCTAGGAATTGAAACAAATATTAGATTCTGCATCATTCGATCTGAGAGGGTGGGAGCACACTTCTCTTTTGAAATCTGAAGACAGTTTAGAACCTACTCCTGTGATGGGAATTTTGTGGGATAAGGAAGATGATAGCCTTTTCCGTGAGGTGAAGACTGCTACTGACAAACCAATGAATCTTACTAAAAGAAATATATTGTCTGTGGTACATCCCATGGGTTTTCTCTGCCCGATAACGCTAACACCTAAACTACTCATACAAAAGACATGGTTGTTAAAAAATGGTTGGGATGCAAATATACTCGAATACTTAGGAAAAGAGTTCTATTCGTGGATTGATGATTTGTCACTTTTATCTTGCAGTATCAGAATCTCCAAGGGCTTTAGATATAAATGGAAATGAAAGTCTTAGTCTTCATACATTCTGTGACGCAAGTAAAACAAGCCTATGGATGTGCGATTTATTTAAGAAAAGAAACAAGTGAAAAATGTATCGGTTGTATTTTCTTCTAGCTAAAAGTAGAGTGAGTGAGTCCATTAAGAAAAATGACCATAAATAGTCTAGAATTATTACCTGCTGTATAGGAGTCAGACTCGCAGCTCTTGCTTTACAAACACTCAAATTAGACAACGTTCCTAGGAAACTATTGAACAGATTTTGCGAGTACTGCTCTTTCTTGGATCCAAACAGATGACCACAGGGTGCCATTTGTCGCAAATAGAGTAAAAGAGATACGAAAATTGTCATCGGAAATCTGAAATGGCATCACATCTTCCAGGAAATTCAAATCTTGCAGATATGCCATGCACGAGGGTGTACGATTACAGAAAGTTTTGTGAAATCTCGCTGGTGGCAAGGGCCAGAATGGCTTATCTGAAGAACGAAAGAAAGAGTGGCCAACTAGTGTGAGTGATTACTAACGCAAGAAGAAATCATGAAAGAAAAGCGAAAAGAACAGTATTTCGAACTTTGGCTAATATCACCGCTGAAAAATGGTATCTGAATTACTTTTCAAGTTACTTTAAATTTGTGAGAATGATTTCTTGGATTCTAAGATTCATAAATAATTGTAGACATGGAGGAAGAAATTATGACAAAACCCTGAGTGTTGAAGAATTAGACATTGTGGAGAGGAAATTATTGAAGATCTTTCAACAAGAAGCATTTTCTAACGAAGAACAGTTGAAAGGACATTTTACTTTCAGAGATGGAGAAGGAATCGTAAGGTTGAAGACGAAGATTTTAAGAAAACATGACGATAAAAACTTCCGATGCCCCATTGTACTTCCATCCCAAACATGAATTTAGTAGAAAGAATGATACAAGACTACCATTTATAACTTTTACATGCTGGAACTCAAGTTCTTTTGACCAATATTCGTCAAAAATTTTGGACAAGGAAGAAAAACAATACAAAGAGTCATATCGAAGTGAGTTTGGTGTAAGAGACACTCGGCAAAAGCTCGATACAGTTCCTTGTCCTCTCTCAGAAGATCGAGTCAGAGATGCATATGCATTTGAGGTGACAGGTGTTGATGTAGGAGGACTACTTTATTTAAAAGAAAATAGAAAGGCTTGGATCTTGCTTTTTACCTGTGGAGTTTATCGTGCGGTTCATTTAGAATTAATTTGAAAGCTTATCGACTAATGGATTTTTTCCTCGGATTTCGAAGATTCACAGCACAAAGACGACTTAAAATAGTATACAGCGACAATGGCATAAATTTTGTAGTCCTGGGAAAAGCATTTCTTTCATATGAAGAAATATTCAAATATCAACTCCAGACCATTAACATACGAGTCAGAAGATTAAATCGATTTATGTGCACTCACTCCATCTATGTTTAATCAAGATGTGCGAATTGAAGGTGTTCCAGATCTGGACAGTTTGGATAAAACCAACTTATCGAAAAGATGGCAAACCACCAAAAATTACGTGTAGAATTTCACATAAGACTTAGAGATGAATATCTTGGACTGTTAGTACATCGACCAAAGACCGTACCTTCGCGAACCATCAAGAAAGATCATTTAGTGTTTGTAGAGGACGACAGAAGGAAAAGAACAATCTGGCCTATAAGTCACATTTAGAAACATATCCTGGGAAAGACAACGAAGTACGTGTTGTCAAAGTGAAAACTGTAACGGGTGAACTCCTAAGACCTGCGAAACGTATTTATCCTCTCGAACTTGATAGACCTAACTTGTTTAGTGACTTGAACATGAACAGGAGGAACTCTAACAATGAGTGCGACAGTGATATGAACTATCAAACTAGATATGGATGTAAAACTGTAAAACCTGTTGCGTATTTTTAAATTACACTCATTTTTATTTCTTTTCAGTATCTCAGAAGTTTGTCTTAACTGTAGTAAATTGGAATATGTTATCTGGATATGGTATGAAAATGTCTAGATGTGTAATAGTCCTTTGTAAGTATTAATTTTTAGAACATTAGTTAATTTTCCCATTTGTGAAATTTGTACCTGAACTTTTGTTTGATTATTGATAAAATTTGTTTTGATTTTCCTATCTTATCGATGTAAAATCAAAAGGTGGAAAGGATGTCCCATTCTTGCCAATAGATGGTGGGCATTCTTCCTTTCTTTTTCCTTAGTTGAGATCTGGGAAGGAGATTAAATTTGAGTCGCTCTGAGGAGCGTAAAGACGAACTTCGGATTTCGAAATCAACTAAAATGCACTGTCATTAAAGTACTTATCAATTATCATGTGAATACTGTAATTATAAAGATGTGCAAAAATAAAAAGTCATTAAGACTTAATTGAAGTTCCAATTGAATCGAATATACATGCCGAAATAGCTCTTCCATACACAAGCTATGGATTAGAAATAACACAATCAATCCAACATTAAGCATTTTTTCCTGTTATCCCTTCTTCATCATTTGAATTCCTTACATGACAATTCCATCGACATACGCAAATCAAAGCCAATTCCAGAAGGCTCTGATCAGAATCATTTTGTTTTTAACCATCCTATAAGTAGATTTGATATATATAAAACTTCATGGATTCTTAAAGCATACAAGTGTCTTTCAAACAAGCAGGAAATTTAGATTGCACAGAAAATTTACATTAATAATCTGACATACTATTGAGAAGCTATCGGAGATATTTTGTTGGAATCTAAGAGATTCACATTGTAAGAAATAGTAGCAGAGTACTTTATCATAAACTTTAGAGTAATCTCAAGCCATTAGAATTTTCCCCAAAAATTTTAAAATGAAACTACTGCTGAGAAACATTTTATGATAATTTTTGAGCTTAATGGACAAGATGTCTCATAAGTCCTCGTACAAACCTTAAGCAGAGGTAGAGTACATCCATATGAACCATATTTACACTGAAAAACCTGAACACAAACAGATGGGTAGCACTGTATGCCAGTGCTCAACGTGCACAGAACAGATACAGTTTCCTTGAAGTTTCAGGGAAGCTATCACATAACACAACTAATAAGCTACCCTGAAAAATAAATAAAATATTTTTGGTACATGCATATTATCCTGGCGACTGTGAAACTATCATGAAGCAGTGTGATTTAGTGCCTATTATGGATGAGCATGACATAGAATCTGCACTTTCACTTGACTCTACCTCAACTGATTCTCAATAAGCCACTTTTCTTATGAACAAGGATACAGATAATCTGTTATTGCTACTGTTTTTCCCCCCTTTGGGAAAAAAAGAAATTTTGGGACCTGCCTTTTACAGAACAGAAAGTCATAGTATCCTACAATATCAAAAGAAAAAATTTGTATTAAGGGACATAATATGGTCAGTTGAATATGGCCTACAAACCTTATATTCAGTGTTCTAAAACAAAGCTTCTGGTAAAATCAAAGGGCCTAACAAAATAACAGAAACTGATGTACGCCTTTTTATGAAGTAGGTTGAATACTGATTGTTTATTAAGTAAGACGTCCTTCAGAAGTCCACAGCAGCGACTGGCACACTCTACCAATTTTCAAGGTTAATGGCAGCCAATTTTCACAGTCAATAAGATAATATGCAATAACTATAATTTTTAACAGCAAATTTTTTCTATTGTGAACTGAATTTACCTGGCCTTTGCGGTTAACACCGATGATTCCAGCAGTTGCCTCGTGAGGTGCAGTAACAAAAATAGTGTCGCCACTAATTCTATTCATATAAATACAAATTGCACTTTCAATATCATATAAATGAACATATCCATACTTTGTTATCAGGTATATAACATCATGTTTTGAACTGACCTGAAAAGAGAATAATTATTTAACATAATTGCAAGAAACAAATGGGAAAATAGAAATAAATTATTAGTGTAATACTACCCAAAGCATATTAAACACAATTAATTTAAATTTTATAATTTTAAAAAATTGTCACTTAATATTCTGATAAGGATAAAACTAATTTACTTACTTGCATTGCAACAGGAAAATCATTCTGGGCTTCAGATGGAAAAAATACATCAACTGCTTTTTTTGGATATGGCTGATTACCAGCAGGAGGCTGACCAACTTCAATAATATGCAACTAGAAGAAAAACAAAGAGAATCAAAATGGCACCTCAAAGACAATTTTAAATTCATGAAATAAAAGAAGTAACTCTTACTTTTCCTCCTTGTGCAGTTCTTACTGCAAAACAAAATAATGTAGATGGTTCAGGATTGCCTTCCAACTTAAACTGAGCAAATGCAGCAGCATGGCCTTCAATAGGTTGACTGACTCTTCTTTCAACAGAATATAGCTGCATAGCCCCTACCACTCTGTTTTGCTGATATTAAAAAAAATTTTATTAAAGATTTTTTCCCAAAAACTTATTAAAACAATTAGAAGAAATTCATTATTTAGTATTTACTACTTTTATAATTAACATATTTACAACAGAGTATTATACATTTTTTTCATATAGCGACACATTTTTATAATCTCAATTTTCTAATCCACAATAAATACCTGTGCGGAGATGCCAATTAATAGCAACCATTGCAATTTGTGATCACATCTGTAATTTATGATCTGACATCCATTGAGACTAGCGTGTCTATCAAACATTTTCAATGGCTGAGACTCGCCTAAAATTAAAAAAAATACATGTTAAAACAGAAAGCCTAAACGTGTGTTAAGTTACAATATATATGAATGCTTGCATATTTTTACCGTACAAACACTTATGTTAACCGCAACTTATGGGGTCAATGACTTTCACTTTATGGGAGGAAAGAGGAGAAATAGAAAAATTTCTTTGGCGAGCAGCTGACTACGCCTATGGCAAAGAATGTGTATGCGAAGAAGGAAAGCTTCCTATTTTTAGACCTTACGAGAATAAATTAAAGCATGTATGCTTCAAATTGAGCATCATATATATATATATATATATAAGATTCAAATAATAAAAAATTCCACATTGAAATTAGTAACAGCTTTTTTAAACAGAGAATTTTATAATATTAATAGATCTGCCATTATATTGGTTTAAGGTAGAATCTTTAAAAACATTGTTATTGTAAAAGATCATAGATTTAAAAAAAAAAAAAAAAAAAAAAAAAAGAAGCTTTTTGGGAGAAGTAACAAACAATTGATTCTTAAGCATATTTTACTTTCTGCTCAAAAGCAAATCAAAAATGGACTTTTTCTGAACATTTCTGCTGCAATAAGAATTATATTTTGTTATAAATCTACGTTTACAAATATATCATATAAAAGTTTGAATTTCAAGCGTGATTAAGATTTACTGAGTAATAAATTAAAATAATTACTTCATACAGTTTATAAAGTAAAATGAAATTTTCTTATGCAACTAAATTCCTTTTTTGACTTTTTAGATTTTACAGTAAACTTTCAAATGTATATTTTGCATTACAATTAATTTTATTAATAAGCAACTTAAATAATTTTAAACTTCAATCATTCAAATTTAATAATTTGCATATGCACAAAAATACATTTAGAAATTTTCATCTGAAATATGAGAAAATTCTGAGACTATTATGATACAAAATAAAGTCAAGGTAATCAGATTGAAAATTGAATGCTGATTTACTTAGATACTGTAAAGTCAAGATTGGTATGGAAAGTAACTTTTGAATTCTGCTCAACAGTGGGAAGAAAAGTTTCCACAAAAGGATTAGTTTTTTTTTTTTTTTTTTTTTTTTTTTTGATTTGAAAAAAAGAATTCCATATCAAGTCATATACAAATGAAAAACTTAAGATACCATAAATTGTTCCTATCACTTATAATTATACCAGATATATCTGGTGATTCATATACTAAATTTGGCAATACTACCTTTCAAATATGCATATCAAGTTATTACTAACCATCTAGTTAAGCAAATTAACAAATAAAAAATTTCACCCATATACTGTTATAAATTAATCATTTTTCAATATGCAAGTAAGCTATTACTGCATACTAATATCAAGTATGCAGCAATTGCATACTTGCATATTACTGCCAAGAACAGTCTCCCCCCTTTAAATGACAAGTATATTTTTGTTCTTTACTTTGAAAAATACAAAAGGGAACAAAATTTTAAAAAGCTACATTTAAGTCAATAATATGTATTTTAAAATCTAATTATCGAAAGGTGGGATTTTGAAGATCATTAATAAAACTTGGATAAACTTATCAGGATTAAAATTTTCACCGATATGTTTACATAGCCACTATAACATAGCTGTCAATCTTGAAATCTTTAAAAAAAAAAAAAAAGATTGTTTTGAGGAAATCAGAACGTTTTCATGCTGAACAGCAACACCATTTCCAATTAACTCTAAGAAGAGTTTAATTTACTTCAAAATGCAAGATTAAAGTTACTGAATTATTTCTTATACCAAGGTTTCTTTAAACTGTGGGTCGCGGAACCTGCAGCAGGGGGTCGCCAAAAATTTTAGCAGTTAACTTATAATAATTTTACAATTACCAAATATTTTTACACAGTGTTTCTGAAAATAAAGATAGGACAATGCATACAAAGAAACAAACGAAAAAGGTTTCGAGGCATTCTTTTTATAATAGAAACGTTCATTTTCCTTGCTTTGCAGCGACACTGTCATTTCATCTGTTACTTATTTAAAATTTTCACAATGTTCCAAGTCTTAAAATTCGAAATTAAAATTATGACCTAAAACTGCAATAGTATATTACAGTACAAATAAAAAAAATTGACAATTTCACTCATGCGTGTTTCGAATTTGCGCAATACTTATCGGGTCCCACAAAATTTTTGTATATATTAATGGGATCCTGGGAGGTCGTGGAAAAATCTTAGTGATAAAAGGGTGTCACAACTGAAAAGAGTTTAAGAAGCCCTGTATTATGTAATTCTGACTTAAAATATACTAGCTTTTTAATTAGATATTCTGAATTTTATTTCTTGGTAATTTTATTTAAAAAATTTTCTTACAATTTTACACTGAGTGAAAATCCCAAATAGTGGACGTTTATTTATCAAATTATTTACACATATAATGAAAATAAAATTAATAATTAATGTGCATAGCATTTGTGTGGATAAACTTAGTTATGTACCATATATCGAAGTAAAATAACATTAACTGACTGAAAATAACTTGAATCTTCATATAAAAATCTACAGATGTCTGCAGCAGATTACGACAAGTCATGATCAATAAAAACGTATCAATGTGAAGTGTAAAAAAGAACACTTCACATGAAATAAAATTTAAGAAATATTATTTCAGATATCACTATAGGTGGGAGAATACAATTTGTCTTTTGTTAATTCAATAAATTTTATTACTGGTAAATATTTTTAGTACAGGTTAAAAATTAAAAGACAGAAGTTTGGTGATTTACTGGAAAACCAAAAGATTCAATGAAAAGTTGGGAATCTTGTGTAAATCCGGGACATTGGCAGCTATGCTGTATAATACATTCATATATAACAGACAATAAAAAATTCCTATGTTTACATTTATAATTTTAAAATACTTTACAAAATTCCTTGACTTAAAACAATGTAAGTTAAACAATATCAAGTTAACTCTACAGAATAACAACTAACTGCATTTACCTTCCATGCTCCAGTGGAACACTGCTGTTTCTGTAACCAGTGCAATGGTATTGACATTAATCCACTTCCAAAACACAACATCTTCATTCATGGTATGGGCTTTCATTTTGCTCTTCATTTCGATGTTGAAAATCTGCAGGGTTCTCATAGCTGAGAAGTGAAACTTAAGATTATGCACATCATTTCTTTCACAATTAAAAATAAAAATCATAAATACACATAGAAACAAGATTCAGTCATTAAGTTTAGACATAAATGAAAATTTCCAGTTTAAGAAATCTTAACAGCTTAGAAATAATTATTTCTATTACATACTTTTTTACCTTCTAAGCTATGAATAATAAAGAATGATAAATAAATTTTTCATAGAAACTGAAAAAGTTATTTTTTTTTCTTTTTCAAATTAAAATCATAATAGATTTAATTTGATAAGAGAACTAATACCTAATTACCTTAAGAATTTAAAAATATATTAAATATAGAAAGGAATAAGCAAAAGTCACTTACTTCCTGATGAAGCTGTAGAGATAAAAGAGAAATACTTCACTTTTGCATGCAAATCAATTATTCACACAGAATTTTGTTTCAATAATTATATCAAAATATAGAAAAGATATCATGGAAAGATAAGCCAGAAAGTGGAAAAAAATTAATATTTAATTCAGTGCAATAAGATGAATATTAACTTTCAATATAATTTAAACAATCTAAATTATTCAATTTTTGAACTGATCATAAAATCAAGTGCAATTTATTGAATTCAATAATTCAAAGATGATACATGAAATGTTTTAGCCTTGAATAAAATATGCATATTCAGTATCAAAATTTCAAGAGATTTTGTTAGTTTTTTTATGAAAAATGATTTAATGATAAATTATTCTGATTAATTATACAAATAGTGGTTATTAACTGTTATAAAATAAGAGTTCGGAAAAAAATTATCTTCCCTAATTATATACTTAAGATCATGATTTAAAATTAGGAACAGTGTATTGTTTGCTAATCAAAATCCCACAATAATCTCTTGTTTTGTTAGCTCACAGAATTATAAATTCAAAGCTAATAAGAACCAATTTTCTTTTAAAGTACATTCAGCACATTTCATTTATTCTAAATACTTCATCAGAACAGCCACTAAGATATAAGTTGTTAAAAGCCTATAATATTTATTTTCAATATAATGCAATAAACAGTGCAATTGTTAAATATCATGTGCAAACTTTTTAAAATGCAGCCAAGCATACACCAAAAAAGCACATTCATTATGGAAACATATGTCTAGAAACATCACTAGCAAGTTGGGCAATATGAGTCATTATTAATACTACATCACAATTATCAAGTTGTTTGATATGTAATTTGTGAACTTTATTAAAGCAGCATTGACAAGAAAAAATGGTACTGCTGTAATGCAAACTTAAGAAGATAAGATCTTCACATGTCACATGTTACAAATAGCCATGAAAACAAAACTGGTCACTATGAAAAGGAAATACATCTTGTCTTAAAGGTACCAAAAAGAAATTGACAAGTTGCTGCTGTACAACTGCATCTGTTTGCTAATGGACAGATGATAACAGATGCCTGATCACCAAACATTTCTATGTTCATATCAAAATGAAAGCAGATTATTTAAAAAAGGCCTGGCTGCAGTTGAGAACAACCATATTCATAAAAGTAGCAGTATACCAAACCGAATGTGCATGTAATTCATGTACGAGTACATGGCTTTGCTGCAAGTTTAAAGCCTTTGCTGTCTTGTCTAGCATATGACAAATATTACAAAAATGCTTACATCACTATCACACATAATTGTTTTACACGTTAAGAGAGAGAAATTTATAATCAGCATATGATATGTGCACTTGCTCTTTCTACAACAACATACTTAAATCATTTATTCTGATGTGGGTTTCATCACTGATAAAACAATGTTGTGTTTGGATGTTTTTAATAGTAACGATGTGTTTATATTTCATGACAAAATAACATCCCTTATATGTTATACAATAGTACTTCAATATCAATATTTGAATGGAAGCCAGATTTAGACTGATTAGGCCATACTTTGTTCTAGCATAAGCTGCAGCATATTTTTGGAGGAAGTTTTGCAGAAATGTTATAGGACACTTCTCCAAACGTCCACCTTTACAAACAATTTCATCACAACAAGACTGCCACAGATTTCAGCATTGATGTACAAGATGACCTCATCATAAGAGTTGCTGAAATAGCTGGACACATCCAAGGTGTGTTTGTAAATGCACTGAAACATCGAGATAGCTGCTAGTTAACATCTTTCACAAACCTATATGTGTATACCTTACAGTCATATTGTAAAACCAGGGACAGTCAACTGGGACTGCCACTAGCTGGCAATTTAAGCTTTAATGTTAGGGTGGTAGAGGCTTTTGTCCATCCGATAATGAAAAGGCCACTTTCCCGAGTGTAGCTCTCTCATGTTTTCATATTTATATATATGGCCTTGCCACTTCTCTTAGGTATTGTTCTGCAACAACAGCACAATAATGGGATAATCATATTTTAAAGCGCGAAGCTAGGATAAATTTTTCCAAGAAACGAATTTATTCTCTTCCTAACACTGATTTGTTTCTTAGCTGAAATAGTTTTGTTGGAACCGATGTCCCGGCTAGCTACGTGGGATATGAATTTTCTATCTCTTATAAATATATAATAATTAATAATATATAATAAATACAAGGAAAATATACATAAAATTGGATAAATTTAACTATACATTTTTTTACTAAGGTTCAACTCAAAAAATTACTTTGCATTTATGCTAAATTAAGTTACTGCAAAGCTGATGGGTGGTAAGGAAGTTTTACTACCTACAAAGTGGCCTTGGTATGAAATGCTTGATTACATATGCTGTATGTGTATAGTTAATAAATATATTAATAGCTTTTCTGTAATCTTATTCATTCACTTCTCAGCAACCCTAACTAACATTTCTAGACATAACACCTTCTGACAAATATGATTCAATTATGTATGACAAACCTTGTACATAAAATTTAAAACTTGAGCAGGAAATTTTAAATCACAACACATGTTAGTAAAATAATCAATCCAATTAATTAAATTATTCAATTCAACAATCCAATTAATTAAATTGTGAATAATTTAATTCGACTGTAATTCAAAAATTCAATTAAATTATTTCACACATATTATATTCACACCTAACTTAGAAAAAACTTTAAAGAAACTCCTTGCTAAAAATTAAAAGACACCTAATGCTTTCAAAATTAAAGTACATTTCAATATCAGAAATGTTTTGAAAAGAAAAGCAATTGGGATATTTCTTTCTCTTGGATTTTAGCAACTGCCCAAAGCAAAATTTACAAAAGTACCAAACAGTCATTCCATTAAATTTATAAAAATTAAACTTACAAATTTATAAACAAAATAAGAAAGAGTGAAAGAAAATGAAAGGTGAGAAAATCATGCAAACAGCTTTATCTCTGGATATTAAATAATGCACAACTGATTTTAAATATATTTATATATTAAATTTACAAAATTTTTAAGAAATAGAAGCAACTTACATAGTATATCTGTAAAATAAAAGATTAGTTTAATTTTAGGCTACAAGTCACAAAATATTTCTTTAAGAGCAAATTCACAAATTACAAGAACGCAAAATTCAATGACAAAAATATATAATCTCTAAATGAAGGTCACAAATTTTATTCTGTCTATTGCTAGAATTACTAAGAAATGGTTGAAAAATTAGCAAAGATATTTGATGACCTAGGAAATTAAAATATCTTCCATTGTTTTATAAACTTCAACTGCAATAAATTAGCCAATATAATTATTACTCAAAGAATACATATTTTAATTATATGTTTCTTATATAATAATAATAAAATTAAAAATAATTTGCAGACAAATAATATAAGAAAACCATCTTAGTCCTTAAAAAATGCTATATTAATTTAAAATCAGTTTACCTTTCAATGCAATAACTTTAGAAGCAGGATTCATTATAGCAGAATCGGCTGATATTGGTCTACGAATTGGATTAGTTGGATTACTCATGTCGATAATGACAACCTGTGCCGAATCTCCAACTTTTTCTCTAACACATATAAATTTATCAGATTCCATGGTGAGGTTATTAAAAGTGATGTTTGCTGCATTGATACCAACTGTAGTAAGCTAAAGAAATTTAAAAATAAATTTAATGATAATGTTTAGAGAACAATTATTCACTTTTAAATTGAAATTAAATAATAAATATTACATAAAAAGACATTATAAATTTTAATTTAAAAAAATCAGCATAAAACTTAACTTTTTCATTTATAAAATTAAAAATAAGACCTTATAAAGCAGTGGTATCTAACTGCAGGCATCTCATAGCCCACAATCCTATTTTTGGGCGCCTGCCAGCCACAATGCAATGTTGTCACCAGACAAAAACTTTAATATAGTCAAAAGTCTTTAATCTGGACTCGTCGGGACTTCAGCGATTCCGGATTATAGATCATCAGTTTAAATCTGGTAAGACGGCATGCAGAAGTTATAAAATTAAAAATATGAAACCGTAATTTATGAAATAAAGAGCAATTATGATCTAAAGATTATCAAAATTTACAAAAACTGATGTGTACACCACATGATTTCCTTGTACGGAATATTAAATTATACGCATTTTTCTTGCATTTAATTTAAACTTATTGGATTGAATTAAATCTACTTCGCCGACAGCGCACAAACCACAATAGAATAAATGCATTTTTAAAATTCACTCTAGTATTTGTTTACCATAGCGACACTCTGGCGCTAGATTCACTTAAAAATTATTACTGTAACTAAATTTGTATTACTCTCAGTTTGTGCGCACTGCTTCAGTACAAATTTTAAATTTTCGGAAAATACAGTTAGTTTTTTCTTTATAAAACAAATTCTTATACACTATTAAGTAAAATAAATCAAGAAAGATAATCATCTATGTGTAAAGAAGACATATTGAAAATTTCACATATATATGATGAAAACAATTTGACTTATTAAAACTCGAAAATTGGCTAAAATTCTCACTTTTTGTGTTGCGCAAAAGGGATGACTCCCCTTCAGTATTATATTTCGTTCATATTATAACTCATAATGCACAAAATTTATATCATTTAAAGAATAGAATTATCTAATCGTTTGCCACATGTTCTATTCAAATACTATAATAAAGCTAATAGGATGTATAAAAGAAATTAAGCAAACAAAACAAAAAAGAAAAGAAACAGTTTTTTTTCACAGCCGATTGAGTATTTCTCGTTAATTAATTCAGTTCTCACTTCGCGAGAAGGCAAAAATACATAAAAACTCAAAATATCTATATTAAAAATTACGAAGTAAATCTCAAACACTTATTTCCTCGAAAAAATTCCAGAAAGAATTAAGCATGATTTAATTGGCAATAATAAATGAATGCGTTATCTTCATTGTTGCGAAGCTAAGTTTCTCTAGATTAGCAACAAATCCACTAGTCTCCTGTTTCAAATGTAAACATTAATGGCCGCCCTAAAAAAAAAAGGCTTAGCTACACTTAGACAACTTTAAAATTGTTGATAATTCTAAAAATATTCATACAGATTTACTAAAGGCATAAAAACCTTAACCGGAAGATAAAAACAACATAATACAATCATTTTTAAAGCAAAAAATGTACAATTTACAAACATATAAGAGAAAAGAAACTGAGATCACCGAGCCTGGTAACATAGTGGATATATATATAAATATATTTATATGCGTTTGGTGCGGTCGATTGCAACCAAAATACGAGATGCACATCTACATGTTATAGCAGTCCTATATACAAAATTTCAACGTTCTGAGGCTACTCGTTTTTGAGTTATGCGAGATACGTTCGTACAGATGGCACGAAAAATTCTCTTCAGAATTAATTTTAAAGCAGTTTTATAATTTTTTGAAGGAAGGAAAAGAGTATTTTATTCTGTCCTTACGTACAGATACCATGCAAAAACACATCGTTAAATGCATTCGATAGCGGTCAAAACGGATATTTTCTTTAAATATGCTGCCTGAAACTTTTCGCGATTACAATACTTCCTTTTTACTTCGTACAAGGAAGTAAAAAGCTTAATAATATTTATTTGTTTACTTTATTAAACATTTCTCTCAATGCAAGCTGCTTCGTTTTATGTGCTAATACTTTCTCTTTAATTCTATAAACAGACATAATTTCTTGTTCAGTTACAAAGTTCCGCTGTTCAAGTCCTATAATTGCTGTATGGAGAATACTGTTGTCAATCGAAATTTTTTCGTTTTCAATAACCTCTCTGTCACTTTCTTCACTATCGGAAGCGGTACATCGAAACATGCTTTCGCTTTGTAGACGCTTTGGCAGCTCCAAAATTTTGAAACTCTTTTTGACATAATCGAAAGTTCAAGCTTACTTTTTATAAAATTGCTCTAACAGTCTGCAAAAAATAATAAGCCGGATCCAATTAGAACATTAAGAAACAACGCAATCTGCAACATTAACTGAAACAGATAATTAGATAATTTTAGCCTAGCTTATACTGTCTGTTATACGTTAAACAAGCACGTGTAAATGTATTATGCACATACGCAAGCGTAGAAAAGTTTGTAGCTTTGAGGTCCGGATTATAGATCATTCCGGATCATGGACGTCCGGATTAAAAACTTTTGACTGTATAAAAACAACCATAAAATAGGTACAATTACACGTCACATAAGGGGGCATTGCATTTTTGATCACATACTTGAGTATTATCACTTTTACTTCGGCCCGTTTCCACAGTCTGCACAGCAGATTAGTTATAGAATTCCGTGTTTTAACACAAGCCCTGTTCACTGCTGCACAAACGATCACTCATCCATCTGGCCATGCAGCTGACAGTCACGAGTACTGCTGAAATAAGTTGATAAAAGTTTGCAGCAGCAGCTACCAACTGCATTGCTTTTCGCAAGTTTTAAAATAACACTTTATTTCATATATTTTGTAGTGAAGAGATTAAAACTTTGATATCCAAGAACAATTACAACCAAAAATTAGATTATATGGAGTAGCTTGCTGACTTGACATTTTTAATCGATATCACTACAAAACTCAATGCAATAAATACGGTTAAAAGCTCAAGTATCCAGAAAACTTAGATGCTGAACTCTGGATAGTTGAGCATATAAAAACAATTCATGTTAGAAAAGCCAAATGAATGGGAAAATTTTCCACTCTAAAATTATAAAAACAATCATTCTTGTTACCAATTTGAATATTAAAAGGCTACACTTAAAGTTAATATAAGATTTCAGGGAGAAAAAAACACATTTCAGTCCTAAAAAGGCAACATATTTTGATTATGATATATTCCCCCAAAATAAAGTTGGTGGAGATATTGCCAATCTTTCTGTTAGAAACTTAACTGACAGACTATTCAGTTAGACACCAAAGAGATAAATTACAGATGTAACATTTAAAACACAAACTGCTTATAATCTTTCAAGTTGCACTGCTATTTGCTATTGTTTATCTATTTCTAAAACTGCAGCATTTTTGTAGGGGGGGGGTTACCCAGATTTTGTAACTAAAAAATTCTATTCATTTCATGTAGTCCTAAATATTACTCATTTTGTCAGAAGAGGGAAAAACAGAACTAATATTATTCTTTACAAAAATTAAACGAGCTTATGCTCATCTATTACTGGCGCTAAATCACACTGTCTGGTGACAATGCATATGTGTTGATAGTATTACAAACTCTATAATAGCATTACAAATCTCTCATTTTCTAAATTTTTCACGGCAAAATTTTTTCTAAAATTCTAAAATATTTCAGTTAAATGAATGCCATTTAGGCTTTTACTGTACCACATTACAAAGAAGAGAAAAATATGTATTGGAAAAGAGCTCAATATCTGCTTATCTGGCTACAATTGATTTGTGGAAGAACAACTTAGTGGACAACTATCAACATTTTCTGTTATTTACCCTCATTTTAGACCAACAATTTATTCTGCATTATGATCCATCTAAGAATGCTACAAATCTTCTGTCATTCAGCTCATAATTTAAAAGATTTCAAGACCTGTTTTCCATGGAGCCCATATTTCACAAACATTCTTTCTTGGAATAAGGCATAACAGAAATGACATCAACCCAATGAGGAGGGGGGGGGATAACAAATCGAACGCAAATTACAGACTTTTATTCTTTGCCCTGATATAATATTCAAAAGCACTGAAAATAAATGTAAAGAAGTTTTTAAACTAGGAAATATTACTAAACAAAAAAAACTTAGGTGCACACCACCAAGGACTTTTTTTTCGGGGGGGGGGGGGGGGGGGGTACATGGGGTACATAGCTTTGTGAGCAGATTTCTTCACAACTTAAAATAGCATAAATATGTTAAAAGAACATGTGAAGAACATGGTACTGTAACACTGAATATCAGAATATATGTCAAATTTTAATAAGTTGTCAGATAACAATAATAACAAATGACAGCCACCTAGATGGTATAGTGGTTAGAGGAGCTGACTGTGATACCAAAGGGCCCATTTTCAAAACCCAGCGAAGGCATGGATGTAAAATGTCTCTTCGGAGGAGGTAATGGGCAGCCATCATAATAAAATGACCATTGCTTCAGGCCTTTATAATGGCAAAAGCCCCCCCCCCAAAAAAAGATGTAATGAGATAAATTACAATGTAATACTTTCTTGTACTAGTAATTAGTTTTAGTATGCACTTTTCTTTATTTTCTAATTAGAAATAAAATTAGTCTGAACCTACATTCACATTTCTACATTTCAGTTTTCTTGGCTGATTTTCTTCAGTTTTTTGCAGGTTCATATTAATTTTCCTTATTACTTGGAAATACAAAATTATCCAGTAAAATCACATTTTCATGAAGTTATTTTTTACACATAAATTACTGGATGACCACGAAGCACAAAAGAAATTTAAAAGGAAACTTATCGCAAAACCAATCAGAAACCACTGCTATAAAGGTATCATTCCTTGAACTGTTTTCACTGATTTAAATATGTTTATAATATGTTCATTTGAAAAGAGTAAAAACTACTTTTTGGCTCTTTCTGAATAATGCTGACCAAATATTTTAAATAACTAATAATGCAAAAATGATAGTAAACACTTTCACAGAAAATTTACA